GGGGAGATGCAACCACAAGCAAGAGGAGGCGCTCTGCTCTGGGCCAGAGCCTTGAACCCAGTCTCAGCAAGGGAGGCAGGGGTCAGGGCAAGGGATGAGCCAGGACTCCTGGGTTCTATCCCAGCTCTGGGAGGGGAGTGGGGTCTAGTGGGTTGGAGCAGGGGGGGCTGGGAGCCAGGTCTCCTGGGTTCTATTCCAAGGGACTGTTCTTACTGTGGTCTTTGAATGCTGACAGGGGAGTGTGGCTAGGATAGTCTGCATTGGGGGAGGGGAGACTGACCGAGGGAGAATACCTGAGCATGTAACATGAGAACCCAGGAAGGGGTTAGAGGCCAGGTGACACCTTTGCCTGGGAAACTGAACAAACGCTGGAGAGAGAGTTTCAGGAGCTGGCTGGTGGAATGGCTGGGAGGCAGACGGGGCTCTGACCTCCCAAGGGGGCTGTGGGGCCCTGGGACCCCAAGATGGACCTAACTGGGGGGGGATCCTGTTGTCTGTGCCTGCAAGACCTGTCTTGGACTGTGTTCCTGTCGTCTAAATAAACCTTCTGCTTTACTGGCTGGCTGAGAGTCATGGTGAATCGCAGGAAGCCGGGGGTGCAGGGCCTTGTGTCCCCCCACACTCCGGGACAGGGGTCTAGTGGGTTGGAGCAGGGGGGGCTGGGAGCCAGGTCTCCTGGGTTCTATTCCAAGTTCCAGAATGGGAGTGTGTTTCGGTGATTAGAAGATGGATCAGAGAGCCAGGACTCCTGGGTTCTCAACACCACTCTTGTGTCTACAGCCTCGGGAAGTGGGAGCCAGGACTCCTGGGTTCTGTTCCCAGCTTTGCCACTGACTCACTGTGCGACCTTGCGCAAGTCCCTTCCCATCTGCGTGCCTCAGTTTCCCCTCCCAGTCTCCAGGCTGCAGGCTCTCTGGGGCAGGGACTATATCTCGGGTGAGAAAGCTGCAGCTTCCACGCGCTCTCAGCTCACCTGAGGCGGTCCGGGTTTGAAGCAGGATTAATGAACCCAGGGTAGGGGCCCCTTTTCAGCTGAAGCCAGGTTTATTTCGGTTTAACTCAGACCTGTTCCCATTCGACTTCCATCAGAATCTGAGCGTCCACGCTGGGGCCAGGCCAGTGTAACTAAACCAGTTCAAATCACCTGCGCTCAGCTCAAGCAGTGCCGCTCTGCGGGAAGCTTTCTGTGTCCCCCTCTCTGCAGGCACCGCCCTGCTGCAGATAATCAATTAAGACCAGACACAAGGGAAGGAGGGTGGGAACGGCTGGTTTGAGCGGCCCAGCCCTCCTTCAGACCCTGCCCCAAGCCTCTGGGAGACAGAGGGTTAAGGGGCGGAGGTGCTCAGTTGTCCTGGGGAAGGTAGATCTTTGCTGGAGTGTTTCCACCCAAACTGCAGAGATCCAGCCATCTCAGGGCACCCGCTCCAGCCCCAGGGCGGGGGCGGGACGGAGTCAGGGTGAGTCGGACTCAGCAGCAAGGTCAGATAGGAAGCTGCACTTTGCCTAGGGCGCCTGGCAGCTCCTGGAGCCGGTGCCCCAAAACTATCGACAGACACTTGTGAAAATAGCCACCCCCAGCACCCCCCCC